ACTTAGAAGATCACAGCAAGACCAAAATGTTACTGGTAAGTTAAAGATAAATATGAGACACTCTTTCAGGTTAAACATTCCGTTTTAAGGTTATATGGTTAAAGTCCAGATTGAGATGCAGGCCTCTTACCTCAAAGGGTATGAGAACAATTGGTGCATTGAAGATGAAATGGAAAGTAAATGTGTTAGCTGCACATACACTGCATTAGAATCACAGCAGTTCTTGAGTTTACTTCTCCAGCCATGTTTTCACTTGTGAGATAAACTGCAGTTGTAGCTCATGTTGCCATTTTTTCCTTGACTGACTTGATGTATGAATAGCTAGTTCTAATCATAATTGATATACCTGAAACTATAACTATTTTAACTCTAAATGGCCCAAAGAAAAATCTCTTTAACTTCCTTAATACCTCCCTGGCTGTGTGAATACTGGGAGGTGTGGTTTTGTGTATTAAAAAAAAAAATAGCTTTTGTAATGGTACTTGTAGCCTAGTGAGGTTTCACATGTAAGACCACAGGAAGGAGTAGGCTAAAAAAATGTATCGACTTGGTTTTAAGCACTGTCCAAATAACAGACACATCTATATAAAACTGTTTTCTAGTGGTACTAGAAGAAAAAGCTCCTCAGCAGTCCCAAGTACCCCTTACTTGTGGTGGTGGCAGTGGTATTGTGCAGAGCACACAAATACTCGTTCTAAAATCTGAACAAGCTAAGCTACAGAAAGAGAACTTGCACCTGAAGAAACAAAATGACCTTCTGCTAAGGTAATTATAAAGCTGATCAGCAACATGTTGAATCATTTGCTGCTTAACTATGTATGTCACTAGTGTTTCTTCCTGGGAAACCCATAGAAGTGAGTAATTTTAGATCTTCCAGATTATTTTACATCATAAGCTTTTCTTTAAAGCTAGTGATTTATTGCTTATATATATCTCAATCCTATTGAACTTTAAATTGCTTTCTCTCATAAGAATCTCTTAAATGCTAGAAGCTATACTTAAATTGTATGCTGGAAGTGATTTTAGAGCAAAACAAAAGTGCCTCTGTAAGCAAGATACATAGATATGGTCTTGCATTGCATGTCTACTACGTCATCTGAAAATACAGGAACTTCTTCCTTAGAGGGCTTCTTCCTTAGAGGAACTACTTTTAGAATTTTCTTAAATGCTGGTTTGGTTTTGGTTTTTCTTTTCAGTAATGAGCTTCAATTGAAAGAGGAACTTAGAAAATGGAAAGAAAGAGCACTAAAATGGAGAGAACGAGTCTCAAGAGAAACCACTCAAGAGGCAGCCCCAAGGTCTCCAAGGAAGATGGTGTCTCATTCCCTTAAAGATCAAATGGCTTCACCCTCCAAGCAATCTATTTCTCAGGAAACTGTGATTCAGGACTTATCAAAGCCTATGCCACTGACATGTCCAACAAATTTCTTTGATAATTCTAGCTTGGGTACACTAACAGGTACGTAACACAGTGTTGTTGTCCTATAAAGATCTGGAGACACAAAATACAAGGGGAGGTCTGAAATTTGCATGAAAACATAATTTTCCTAAATGGTTGGTCAGCTGACTGAAGGGCTGACCAGATAGAGCGCTACGGAACCTAAATATTTAAATGAATTCTTCCCCCCTTGAAAATTAAACAAGCTTTTTTCTTTTGTTGGAGTGGAAGTGTTGATTTAATTTAAAAAGTGAATGAGCCTAGATAGCCTATGCTTTAAAATGTTTTGCTTTTTAACTTCACATTGGTAAATAACTTGAACATTTTTAACTTTACATCGGCAAAACTGCTCAAAGTTAGCTGCTAGTTAACTTTTTCTCTTAACTTCTTCAAGATGGTAGACTTTAGTCTTTGTTGAATCTGCCAGTCTACCTGGCTCCAGCTGTGGTAACAGCTGTTTTGGTAACTTCTGTTCCTTAGCCCTACTCAGGATATTCTATATCTGGCCAGGTGACCCCTGGGGAAGTCTCTTCGTGATCTGTGCTAGCATATTAATGCTACTGCCCTCATTACACTTGCTTCTAAAAACTTAGAAAACCCCAGCAGACACGCTGTGAAGAGTTAACCAGTTTTCAGGGTATTAATGGTTGACCTCCAGAAAGAATATAACTCATTGCTGTTTCTTGTGATAGCTGACTTGTGAGAAATTCTATACTATTACCAATACAAAGTTCCTCAGAGGCAAGTTTTGACAGTTGATATTTAAAACGCTAGTCAAAATTAAATTGCTCTATTCCTACTGTTTGTCTAACTGGAAAAGTTTAAGTATTACTTTCATGTTCTTGTCTTCTGTATAGATTCACGACCTGCAGGAATAGAGCCCACAGAAGAACATCTTAAGCACTGGTTTGGAACTTCAGATAAAGCCCCCGATTGTACCACCCAATAAAAGTGCTCCATTGTAAGCTGCCTTTGTAGCAGCTACATCCAGAATCTGTATATACAAAAGATAATTGCTTCAGGTCAAAAGCCAGACTGTGACAAGAGCTCTGGTGTCATGCAAATCTGCTGTCCTGGAGCTGCTACTTCCCACAATTTGAAAAGCCGGACTACTAAAATGGAAAAGCAGTAATGTTGCCCACAGCCTGCTGATCTGATGATGTTCTACTTTGGTGGGTTTGTGTGTTGGATGTCAAAGAAAAGCTAGTGTACTGAAGAAAAAAATGGAAATGGGAATGGATCACAAACCAATCCACTGTGAAACTTCTCAATCTCAAACTAATAATTCTGTCATTCCTAAAGCAGCCCTCTTCTATGTGATAGATATCTGTATCTTCAGAGTGCAGTTGAGTTGAAAAAAAACTACTTTTTCTTTCTTGGCATATGGTTTTTATACCATGCTTTCCCTAAGTCAACAGAAACTGCATTTTTACCACTTTTAACCTATCTGGACTTTACTAACTTTTGTTTATAAGGCACACAATCAAGCATTCCTTTTAAACTTATATTATTTCTGCAGCTCAACTAATTATGGTAACAAGTATTTTGCATCATCTTTCAATGTACTTCTAGTTCCTATATGAACTTGAGTACTGGAATTTTTTTAATAGCAAGCAATCTTCTACTCCAGTAAATGGAAAATAAAGTGAATGATCAGGGCTGCATAATGGACTATTTTACTAGCCTGCTTATCTATATTCTGAACCTATGTTTTTGTATGTTTTGTACAAGGTTTGTTATGACAATAAAATGTTAAGTATTTAAAAAAATTTTTGCTGGTCACTTTATTTGTGCTATGATCAAAGGTTCTTGATTACAGTATTTGGTGTCTAAAGACTATCTTCTATAGTAATCTTGACACTTCCATCATTATTATGCTTCTTGTCTGTGTCCTTTATGACTTTCTGCAATAATTACTTTGCGCAGAAGTTTACTAAGTCTTTCTCTGTCAAGAAACATTTAAAGTCTAAAAGATAGATTCTCTTCCCTTTCCTCCCCCCATGCCCTCCAAATAAAACTGCCAGCTAAATAGGAATTTGGCACTCAAAACCTGAGATCAACTCTTAAGAATGAAGTCATCAACGTGAGATGAGAAAGTCATACCTAAGAAAGATACCCACATCAAAAGCATTATTTTATAGAAATAAAGCTCTCAGTGATGCTAGGTCTTAAGTACTCTATTTTGTGTTTCTGGCATTCAGCAGTCACTGGAATTGGAAGAGTTGCATAAGGATTTTTCACCTAATGGAGGTACTTCAGAGATCTTTATTAAAAGAACCAACTACCTATTTTCTTCAGGTAGCTGAAAACTCTATTGGCTATTTTAACTACTAAGAAATTGCAAGCCTTTATCTCTAAATCTCTGACCTGGAATGTATTTTGGGAAGCTTTTAAAGATATTGCTAGCCAAAAATACATGGGTTCTAAATACTGAGTTCAGCACTGTCTTGTTTCCTTTCCTACCACAGCCATAGGTATGTAGGAGCAATTTATTTCCTGACAATAAGTGCAAAGCACAGGTGTTTGTGTGGAGGGTGTTTTGGTTTGGGGTTGGTTAGTTGTTGGGGGTTTTTTTGTTGTTTTGCTCTGTTTACTTGTTTTTTTCAATTTCCCACTGGTTGAAAGATAGTTCCTTTTTTTTTTTATTCCATCTATTTTGGTGTTCTAATAAATGAATTAAACTGACATTTTCCTTTCAGAAGAGGGAAACAAGGTGGATATAAAAATTATATTAGATACAGTTTCAGTCAGTTTTTTGTTAATTATTGCTTGCTTGGACCATTTCTAGATTTGGAGATTTTTCTGGTGATTGAGGTGAAAAACAGGAACTTATAGCAACAGGTCTGTGAATTTGGTAGGCAAAAGTTAGAGACGGGAGGATAAATGCTTTTGGAAAACCTAGTCATTAAAGATTTTGTTTCCTGGGCAGCTGATTTATAAAGCCTTAGGCAAGCTATAATATTCCTGAACTTTGTGTATGTGTGTCCCAGTTTACCCACAGAAATGGCTTTTCTGTGGAAAATGTGCCCAACTGAAGTTCAGGCAGGACTCCAAACTCTTTAAGGATACTATCAGAGTAGCTTTATGTCTGATGTGAGCTTATGACTAAATTAGTTTGCCCTAGAATTTTTCCTGTCTGATATTAACTCTGCCTTAAATGTAAATTAAACCACTAGATACAAAAAGAAAAGTTGGTAAATCACCAGTTTAACAAAAAACCCAAGAACAAAATTAATCATGCAAGTATTGTCCTAGTTTGGAATTCGATAGCTTATATTGCTACAGAGAGATTGCTCGGGAAAAACATGGCTGTGGCCTTTTTTGGTGGGAATCCTGCTAATCTCTTGAATTTCTTAGGGAGAATGGACGGCTAATTGTTGGCAATTCTGTTTCGTCTTTTCCTGTGCAGGAGAAAAAAAATCACACTTTTAAAATCTTGAGTTTCACTAGATGGCAGCATCTCAATGTTTCAGCAGGAAACTACGTTCATCTACCGAAACATACCAGTTAGACTACAAATCCCAACAAGCACAGCAAAAAAGTATAAAACTTCCTTTTGTGCAAAGGTCAGTAAATACAACAAGCTGTTTGAGATCTCTTGGTGAGTAACTATTTTAATATTTATTTTTAAATGCTTCATATAACTGATGTTGCAAAGGTTCATAAAAACTCATTATTAGATTGAAAAATTTATTTATAGTGCATTTTGGTTCCAGAGTATTACGGTGATTTGGGGAAATACTTGAACAGATCAGGGTTTATTTTTCCACTGAAAAGATGTATGACAACAAAGAATAAGAGCAATCTTCCTCTGCCTTGAGGGAGCACTTTGAACCTCTTGTTGAGATACTCGGGACTTGATACAATTAATAGAACCTTTCCCAGAATTTTGTGTTTAAGGAGTTGCATTTTGGAAAGCTTGGTACATTATAGTGCAACCTGTGTAATCTCATTTTGCTTGGTTAACTTGGTATTTTTCACCTGTCAAAGCAAAAAAGTTATGCTAAGATAGGCACAATCTCATATAACCTTATATAGCCTACCATCAGAGGCATCTAAAGGCATGTCTTTTTACCAGCCAACCTAAAAAGAGATTTTAAGGTTTCCGTGAATTAGAAAGGTGCATCTCAGTTACTGTTTGCTTAGGAGACTGGGTTTTGGGGCTTGGTTTCTTCATATGTGTGTCCCAGTTATGGGAGGAAAGCCTAATTTCAGTGTCTTGAAACATAATCTGGAACTCAGTTTGCCTTTAAATCAAAAGATATAATGTTTTTTATGTTAGAATATAAATAATTTTTCAGTTAAACTGCTTCAGAAGAAGTCTTAATTTGTTGAATCCATAACCTTTAGGGAAGCATCAGTTTTGCTGCAATTTGTCAGGAAAAGCTGCTGAGAAAACAGAATTTCTGGTCAAAACCAGAGATACTGAATAATCTGGTTTAAGATGTAGGACACTAAATTTGCCTCAGTAATCTGAATCACAACATGGATTTGAGTATCTCTAGATAGCACTGGCTGCTATCCTAGGGGACGTTATGGCATCTTCATCTTCTCAGTGAAGTACTCATTATGATGGATTGACGTATATATTTAAAGACTTCAGGTTCTTGGGGCATCTTTTCTACATTCATAGCTACAGAAACAAATTTTTCTCTGTGGATTATAAAGGTACACAAAGTCTTGCTTATTTGGAGCCCAGTTAACAAACACCAGATATAGCACTCTGACACAGTGACCTTGCTTTTTAGGCAGTTCTGCAAAACATCCTATTAAGTAGTTGACTCCTTAAATAACAAAAAATCCAGAGGAATGAGAGGATAGCGTTTGCTTTTACTTGTTTGCCTGCAATTTTACATGCTATATTTCTTTAAACGTAATGCAGCATTAGAAAGGGTGCTTGGCAGAAGAGGAGAGGGCTGTGTTTTGCCTTTTGGCTGCTACACACTGGAACCTCCTAGAGGTTCGCTACTGCTTGCCCCAAGCACACTCTTTAGTTCCCTGAGAGCAAGAGGGGAGAGACAGGACAGCAAGTCATTCCTGTCCCCACCCTCCTGCCTTGTTGGAGCTGCCAATCTGCTGTGCTAGAAGATTCTAACAATTCAGAGCAGACACCAAGGCTAGAGTATTGTGTGAAATTTATTGCAATCTAGAAAGTTGATGAGTTTGTAGCTTCAGAGGGGTACAAGAAAGATTTGCTTTCAAAAACACAACGGATAGTGGAAGCACTAGATTACAAGATACTGTACTTCTGTTTCTTCTTGATTTTTTTTTTTTCTGTTAAAGGAAAAATAAGGTCTGGTTTCTGTTATAATAAAGCTTGGCTTTTGAGCTCAAATGCCTTTTGATTGTTTTGAGGTCCATACTTATGAAAAAGAAAAGTTGAAGCAGTCCCCCTCTCAGAACCTTGCATGACTCAGGGTCATGCTGCAGCCAAACAGGACAATCTGTGATGGGATTGGATGATAGAGGTGCTCTGAATCATGTCTGGATTCATTAATTTTGGAATGCATTTGCATCTTATTCCCAGAGAGTGTTGTTGGCTTGTCTTTCTGTTAAAGATTGTTACATCTTCTGACTGCACAGGCCAGCGGCATGGGTCGGCTTGATGGGAAGATCATCCTGCTGTCTGCAGCAGCACAGGGGATTGGACGAGCAGCTGCTATAGTAAGTTGTAAAATGTTTGTTCTCCTTTACCGAAGCTAGGTCTCTAATGATAGCTCATCCCATGACACTTGCACCAAAGGAGTTCTCGAATTAATAAACCATACGTGAAATCAGAACTACCCACCAAAAAATTCAGGGAATAATACAGTCACTATCCTGTATCATGCATGCTTTGTGCTGTTCGAATTTCTGGAAGTCTTCAGTTCTGAGTGGTGATGTTGAGCAAGGATAAGAGTAAGATTTGAGAATGGCTGCAACTGCTTTTCTAACAATATATGGTTGGTACTGTCTGTACCTTTAATCCAATATCCCTGCTGCTTTGTTCAGGGAGAAGATAAGGAGGATAGAGGGAGTATTTCCTGTTATATAGCTGGATACTGCAAAGATCCCCTACAGTAAAACGAAGATATTTATTCATATTAAAAGTTGACATAACCAAGTCTATGTGATACTAACAGCACAGCTACAACATTGTTCACAATGAGCAACTGTGAGAAATCCTTCACAAATTTTATTTAATTACTGTTAAACAGAATTCAATATATACATTAACTTTCTGGTTACTTTTCAATTCCTTTTGACCAGCTCTTCCCCTGCTATTTCCTTCTTCCATAGCAGATAGAGAAACCAGTAGTGTTATCTCAGTATCTCCATGATGTAATCTTCAAGCCAGGAAAAGCTCCTATAAGTAGGATTTTTGCCTAACTGGTTAATTTCTCATGCATGCAGTTAACGCAGGAGACTGCTGATCATGGCACTTGAATTAAACACCTAGTCCAAGGAGCAGGTAAATTTTCATGCTGATTTCTCTTAGTAAACACCCGACCAAGCCAAGGAAGGCTGGCATGTTTAATGCCTCTATTCTCTTAAGCTGCACGTGAGACACTTATTTTGAAGATTAGGGACTACAGTCTGAGATGTCAGAATACTTTTGACAGAGAGGTTACTTTGCTAGAAAAGTTGTTGATCTATGAGTAAGCACAATGCAGAGAAAGCGGGTTTTGAGGGGAACGCAATAGTATTTCTGGTTAAGTATCAACGAAAATGTTGCTCTAGTTCAATGATTTGGAGGCAAAGGTTTTTAATAAATTTACATATTGCCATTCCTTTTCTATGTGTGCCTTTACCTGTCAGATCCCATAACTTCATTTAAATCCAACAGTACAGACAATTCTGGCCCTACATGTTTGTAACATGCTTGCTAGTCCATATGCAACTAATAAGGGCAATAATAATACCAGTTGTCTTAGCCTGGTTACTGTTCTTAACCTTTATTTACAGATTACTTTAAGGAAATGTTCATAAATTTGTCTTATATCATGTACAGTTACTTAGTTGTCCCCAGGATGTGTGGTAATTGATGTCCATTACTCGCTGGCATGCCCAGAATGAAAAGTGAGAGCTCAGCTGCCTTCAGCCAACTTTTATTTCAAGCCAAAAAGAAATGAGAAGAAAACAGATTTTTTTTTTTTTCTGCTAAGATCTGGAATATCTAAATATAAACTGCTTCTCTTACTTGTGTTCTTCAGGCTTTTGCTAAAGAAGGAGCCAAAGTCATTGCTACAGACATCAACAAGTCTAAGCTGCAAGAACTGGAGAAATATCCAGGTAAATGACCTTCAGCAGGCATCAGTTCAGCTTTTGCAAGTTTTGTTATAGACTGGCTGAAATATAATTTGAGGATAGGGCAAACTTCAAAAGGCTGGAAAAAAACAAAATATCCAAACTAATTCTTTAGACATCAACATAGCTTTGTTCTGTGGTATGGAATGTTAGAGATGTAGCATGTGAAATACTGCAACACCGGCATATCAGAGTATTATTCCAGGCATGTGGAATAACTTTGAATTTCTTGTGTCACAGAAGCAGTTGATTTCTGCTTCCCAGAATGGCACCCGTTTCAGTTACCTTTTGAGATCATTAGGCTAACTGTCAAGCATATCACTCTAAAAGGCATGGAATGCTTTGCTCTGATCATAAGAAGTAACATCCAGTTATACAAAAAATAAGATTGTGTCTTGCATTTCTATGGTACATACTTCCTAAAGAATGCATTGAAAGGATACCTGTCTAGTAGAATTTGTATGTCTTCAGAAACTAATTCCACCAACACTAGATAAGCCTGTGTTTGTACAAATTCTCAGGTCTGAAGGTTCCTTTCCTACTGATATCACAGGAACACACTTCAGGGAGTAGGTTTTGCATAGCTGTGGATCTTAATCGTGACACAAGTGTGGACGTTATATTAAAAAATTACTTATTCAGTCTTGAAATAAGACTTGGATATACATTTTACAACTGAAAATGCTTCCAACTTAATTTGATAGAAGGAAGTGGATTTAATTAAGTCCTATTACAGGGTGACAGTTAAATACACAAAAATGCTTTTCTCTGGCACAGCTTTTAGAGTGAATATCAGTCTCTACTGAGCACACGATCCACAAGCAATCCCTTTTGTAATTCTTTAGGAGCTTTAGGACTTTCCAGGTTTGTTCTGAGGATGTTTGGGAAAGTGTGTTACACTTTAAAATGTGCATTTCTTTCCCCTCTGCTAGTGTGTTCACAAGTAAAGAGGTAATTTCCCATATACTTAAAGCCATTTCTATCCTTTTGACATGTGATTAGTTAAGCCATAATTCATGAAGGCTTGGCACATTATCATCTTTGAATTTTATCCAGGAGAGGTAATTCCAGTGCTGATGTTAATCACCAGCCTGTAGTCTAATTACATCTTTATTATACAAATCTCTTCAAAAGTGTCTGTATCATTTAACTAAGGCATATAAAGCCTGTTCATGGACTTCGCAGTTTGGCTTCAAAAGAAACAGGTTTTTATCCATTCCAAATCAAATTTTCCCATAATTTTGACATCACTTAGATGCTTTACAGACAGTTTTAGAGTATTTCATAGAATCATGCATGCTGGATGAGACCTCTAAAGGCCATTTAGCCCTGCCTGCTGCTCAGAGTGGCTCTGGTTACAGAGGTTGCTCAGGGCTGTGTTGAGTCAGGTTCTGAACATCTCCAGGGATGGAATTTCCTCAGCCTCTGTAGGCCCCTGTTTCAGTGCAACTGCCCTTGTGGTAAAACAAAAAACCCCAAACAAACCGCAAAAAATCCCCCACCAACACCCACAAAAACAAACCACACCTTATTCAGTTAAACTTTCCCATGTTCCAGCTTCTTTATGTTGCCTTTCATCCTTCCACTGTGAGCCTCTGAGAAGTCTGGCTCCGTTTCATCTAGAGTTTCTCAATAGGTAGTTGTAGACATATTTTAGACTCTGTGTCACTAGTTGTACATGACTAAATTGTAAAAAATCCTATGTTTTGGGGCACAGGTGTGTTCTGCATCCTAGATGCAGGATATGTTATGACCAGGCTGTGGGAAAAGTGATCAGCAGCACGTCTTAGCACCTAGGGAGCCTAATTGTATGTACTAAGGGAATTACTGGAGTGTACCCTGGCTCCATTTCCACTTATCCAGGTTTCCTTTGAATGTAAAGTTCATGTATTGGAGAAGAGGGCACGGCTCAGTCTTTAGACACAGTATGGAGTGATGGTGCAGGCAAAGTGTATCATGAAGTATGCCTATTCCATAGTAAGGATTCAGCCTTGACGTGGGTGAGGGAAGCTAGTTGTGTTAGACTGCTGGCAGCTACTTAAGTAAAATGAGGTAAAATAACACATAGATTATATCCTATCATATTACAGCTCATCTGGAAGTATAGTTCTTTTACCTTGTTCTTTTCACTTTTGTCCTGGTGATGGCATTGCAGTGGTTGGCCCTAAAGCAGTTCTGTTAGAGGTGCTGATTCTGTCAAAAGTGGTTGGAAGAGTTACGCCTGTCCCTGTTCTGCAGAAATTGTGTCTCAGTCTTTCAGAGATAACTTTTCTGAACAAAATAGAAGGATTACTTTTTCGTTATCAGCATCCTTCTTGAAGGTATGGCACAGGCAGGCAGTGCTGTTAAGCACTGACAGTGACAGGTGTCAGAGGTTGAAATAAGACAGTTATAGTGAAAAGCAACAAGATTCTAAGCCTTCTTTGATTTGATTATAAACAGGTTTACAAATATGATGCTCATGGTTTTTTGCAATTAAATAATTGCTATAATATAATTCCAGGTAATATAAGTTAATGGTTTATGCAAAATCACTTTTCCTCATTAATTAAATGATATAAAGCTGATTCATAATACCTTTAACTACACATGGATGGATGGCATGTAATGTGACTGTGAGTGTGTGTGACAACTAGTTCAAAGTAATTCTATTATAACGGGCATGAAGGCTTGTTATGATTATACAGGTTCTATAATTCAGTTTGAGAGTATAATGGAATTCAAATTTATTGGAAATGTTTTTATGGTAAATTGCGTTAGCTCATCTGCCTGTGTGATGCTGTATGACAATCAAATCAGTTGATCTTTCTTTAACTATCTTCTGAAACTTTTAAATAGCATGACATGTTTTCCATTGCTGTCCCAATTTAACCATTGCACTAACTTGATGATTAACTGTAGCTCTCATGCAGTGAGGTTCCATGTCTTGGTGCACTACTGAGGGGAGACTGTTCCTGGGAAGCCACTGACTTGAATTTTATGTGCACTTCAGAAAAGCAAACTGATGATCCTTAGCCAAATACAGTGAAGCAAATACCATATGTTTTCTAGGCATTCAAATACGGGTTCTGGATGTCACCAAAAAGGAGCAGATAGAAAATCTGGCCAAGGAGATTGAAAAGATTGACGTCCTCTGTAATGTTGCAGGGTAACCACCTTCTATTTTATGCTACTATTTCTCCAGTTTTCCCTGTTCTCCAGAAGCACTTTCTTTTACTTGAATACATTTTATTTCTTTTTTTTTAATGCATTTTATACCTTTAATACAAACTTTCATGTGTTTTAATCAAAACTGAACATTTTATGCACACCCATGTTATCCAGGCCAAGATAAAATGGCTATGGAATTTGTGATGTTTTCCCCACTCTCTGGGTGACCTTTGGCTCTCCTAACACAACAGTAAGCAAAGCTGACGGTCTGCTAATGCTCTACTTACTTATGTTAATTTCCCTATTGCCAAGCATTTCTTAGCACATATTGAGTCTGCTTTGCTCCCTGATACTCATCAGAATACACTGTTGCTTGCTTTCTTCAAAAGAGCTCTTGTCCCTCCTTTTCAAGGTTGGAAGAGTTAGCTACTGCAAAACAGTAATGGAAAAATGTGCATAAAAAGCTATGGAAACGTAAACCACAGACCATAATTCACTGCATGCACTTATTCTAGGTTTGTCCATCATGGAACCATTCTAGAGTGTGAGGAGCAAGACTGGAACTTCACTATGAATCTCAACGTTCACAGCATGTATCTAATGATCAGGACATTTCTTCCTAAGGTAAGGTTTGGTTGCCCATGATTTATCATCTCTGCTGCATTGTTTCTAAAGTGTGAGAGGTCTAACTTGTTGCCTCTGTGACAACAGAATTTGAGACGAACATGCAAGTATACAGCTTTGGATAGGGGAGGCCCTTAAGTTATTGTGATCCTACTCTAAAACATCCTTTGTATTGTGTAATTTTTCAAGTAGAGAGTCTATCTAAAGGATATAGTAGAGAGGATTAACTCAGGGGGTTTGCCCTATGTAATTTCTCACTAAAAATCTTCAAATGTAGAGCAGTGAGGGAGCCATTGCAATGCAATGCTAGTGTATTATGCACACAACTGCACAATACCACTGCTACAAAATATTTATAAATTTATATTAACATGTATTTTATGGAACTCAGGAAACCATCTTGTGCAGCAATTCAGTGCCACTGACACCAGCATGCTGGTTATATCAGAACAGCAATCCCATTAGTCTAGCAGCTTGAGGATACTTGTGTTTGACATGATAACTAGGTTTTAGGACTACAGAAACTTGTGGACTGAGTAAGGTGTTTGTATTCCTGTAAATACAGAGGCCAAATGTGGAAGCTGTGACCATAACTGGATGACAAGTACTCTTTTCAGTGTTGTTCCAGTCCTTTTTGTTTGTTTTGGGATTTGGTGGGGGTTTTTTCTTAGGTGATACTCATTTTCAAAGGTTCTTTATAACAACTGTAGGCATCCCAAATTTTGGAATGACTAAAAAGGTTATAACTTAAAGAAATTTAGCTACAATTCAAAGATGCTAGATAGCTTTGTGTTAGTCTTCTCCAATGGAAAAAGGGTTTTAATGGGATCAGTGAATTACAGAATTGGTAGATGGTATGAATAGATGTCTATGTAGGGTAACTTCCTGTAGTGATAAGAGGGCAATGATTTCAGAGGTGGCTAACAAGAAAAAAATTCCTTTCCTGTCATAGTTTTCACCTCTGAGACAACTTAGGAGAACCTAGTGAGTATTTCAGATTCTATGTTACTATCTTTTACTGAAGAGTCAATAGATCAAAAAGAGGGAAGCGCCTGTTCCTGCCAATTAAGCTTTGTTACCCTGCATATCAATTGTATTCAAGGCTGTTCTGCAGGTTGTTATGGGCTATGGGACCTGCAGATGACAAAATAATTTGCATTTGAATTACATAAGTATTCTTTTTCAGATGCTTAAACAGAAATCTGGAAATATTATAAACATGTCTTCTGTGGCATCCAGTATTAAAGGTCAGTAGCTTGCTACAGTTTCTTATATAAATCTTTAAATTATGGGAATACGATATAAGTTTTGCATAAGTTTAAATTTAGAGGACATTGCCAATCCTGTGGAGAGATGCAGTTAAAAAAAGGGAATACATCAACGCATACATACACACAAGGACACAGATGGAAGGTTGCAGAAACACTAAGATCCTTGCCTCTGAGCTCTTGAAGCTGTCCTGAATATTTTGCAGCATCTCTTTTACCAGTTTGTATTAACTACAAAGGAATTACTTCCAGTCATATTTGCTACATATGTTCTTCAGAGAAACAATGAAGCAATTAGTTATGTAAGCACTGTAGCTACACTTCCTGAGGAAGCCTGATGGTGACTAACAGATGGGTCTCTGCTGTTCCTAAATCTTTGTTTGCTTTGTTAACGTTTCTAGACTACTTCTCAAACTTATACTATAGAGAGATCATGTACTTTGCTCTCCTGTATGCCTGAGCAGAATTCTGGCAATCAGCATTCTATTTTGCTAGCCCTTATGGAGATACTACCAGTGCTACAGGGAATGCAGGAGTGCAGCAGCAGGTGCATATCGTAAAAACTTGACTCTTCTTTTTAAACTTTTTTTTTTAAATATGTTTCTACGCTGCCTTCACACTGACCTTCTGTTAGGAGTTGTGAACAGATGTGTGTATAGTACTTCAAAGGCCGCAGTTATTGGTCTAACAAAGTCTGTGGCTGCTGATTTCATTGAAGAAGGCATCAGGTGCAACTGCATATGTCCTGGTAAGTATTCTTACATTATTTTGTAAACTAGGAGCAGATGCTAGAAGGTCCAATTTAGTTTGACATTATTAACAAGAGAGTAGACTTGCAAGTGGCAACTAAAGTTACCAGCAATCTAAAAGAACAGGACATGCTTGAAACATTCCTGAGATTTAAAATAAAAAGTCATTACTTTTGTAGTTAAACTATATGTTTAGTCTATTAACACAGCACATGGACATTATAAATGCATTGCACAGGATCTGAATGTTTATTTCAAAGATATAGTCTAGGAGGTTAGTAGCAGGCAAGGGCTAGCTAACAGGTAGCCATTATTTAACCACCTGAAAAGTATTAAATCAAATTCTCAAATGCCTTCTATTGAAATTTAGAATCCTGTGCTATGTCGACAGTTTGCAGTCTTTTTCCTGAATCACATTATGAAGTTACACGTAACTGTTAAGACATACAAATACAACCAGTGAGCTGCATTTTCTTTTTGTCACAATTGTTGATGAAGTTAATTTTTAACATTGAATTAAAAAATTTGCTTAGGAACTGTTGACACACCATCTTTATGGGAAAGAATCCAAGCCCAGCCTAACCCAGAACAGGTGAGAAAGCAATCTATTAGTTTGGTCATGTGCATACATGTGTTTAACTCCCTTTAAAAAAATAAATATATAGCAGCACTTCTTTCTATATTCAAGAATGTCTCCTACTTCAGAGTACCAACAATAACATAACAGTAGTGTATCCTTTGATAGTTTGGTCAGTTTGTACTCAGATATAAGTCTTAAAATGCCTCAGAAGGATACTATTGCAGAGAGTCTGTCATCTGTGGAAGCTTTTGCAACCATTGGTTACAGTATCTGGTGCAAAAATAGAAGATGTTTTCTACTATGGACACAAACTAGTGCAAAACCATAACAGAACAGCCATTCTGGCCTATGCATTTCCAAATTATTTCAGATGCTTTAACCATACTGACTAGATAACTGAGAGCCCTCTTTTGGAGGGCATGGGACTATCTTCCAAAGGAAGAAGGATTTATGTTGGCTTTATTCTGGAACCAGAGATTTAAGTCCAGTCTCCTACTATTTTTCAACTACTGTTAATATTCTAATTTCTTTTCCTAGCATAAATTCCCTACTTAGTGCACTAAAGGAAGTTATAACTTCTGGTCTGTTTCCGGTATTGCTTTGTATATGTCATACTAACTGGGTTAAAATATTTGGTTTTTTATTTTTGATATACCAAATGCTCTTGTATATTTAGGCATTGAAAGACTTTCTAGCCAGACAGAAGACTGGTAGAATGGCTAATGCTGAAGAAGTAGCCCACCTCTTTGTATACTTGGCCTCTGATGAAGTAAGTATGGCACAGTAAAATTTCCTGTCACAGAATCCCATGATACTTTTCTGCTTCACAATAGAAAGAATTTGTTTTAGAAAGATTTATATTGTCTTTGAGCTGGATTATTACAAATATTTAAAAATCTATCTTTTACTGAGTGCAACCTACAGTACAAAAAGTACTCTGAATGTTAGCAGTGATTGTTAAGGCAATGATTAAGCAGTGATTGATTATTGTTATCTTTTTCCAGTCTGGTAATAAGGTTTTCAACCATGTGTAGAGAGAACTCCAGTTTTCCAATATGTTCCAGTATGCTTCGGTACTGACAAGAATGCTAGTTGCTTGCCTCATTATCTGCATGATCTAAATTTTCAGTTAGGTCCCAACATAATTATTGGCTGACCTGGTCAGATTCTGCACAGCTGAACAGAGCTAATAACATCACAGTGTGAGGTATTATTCCTGCAGGTAAGATATCTGAAGTCTAGCTTATGTGAATTTGTACTCTCAGGATGTGGTCTCATCTTAATGCCTCTAATAATGCTTTTGCTACATTCCCCTGAGTTAGCCGAAAGGCTTCCATTTCTAAGTTTATTTATATTCTGTTTATTCAGATATTTTTGCAAAACAAAGTGTTTGTACAAAAAGAAAAGTTTTTTGAGTTTAAAGACAAAGTGTTTCCCCTCTAATAAATAGCCATTAAAAATTTGTTAAAATTCTTACTACTTTTTATGTCATTTCAGTCTGCCTACATGACTGGTAATGAACTAATCATTGATGGAGGATGGAGCTTGTGATTGACCCAACCTGCAAATGGAAATTCATACCATGAAAGGCAAGAAGTGAGGATCATGTTTCTCAGTTAAGATAGCTTCCAGAGATGTAAATCGCACACATCATGGCTTTCAAAACAGATTTGGTACATTTTTACTGCTATATAATCTTTTCTAGATTGATTTTACTGATACATTTTTCCCTAAATAATGGAACACTGGCATAAAACATTTAATGTGTCTTTAGTTTATGGTAACTCCAAAACATGGAAGAATAGTAATTCAGTGTTTAAGATTTCAGAGGGCCAGGTTGGATGGGACTAGAGCAGACTGGTCTAGTGGAAGGTGTCCCTGCCCATGGCAGGGGGGTTAGAATTAGATGATCTTTAAGGTCCCTTCCAACCCAAACCATTCTGTGATTCTAGGGCAAAGAATATTATTTAAGGTACAAAATCAGAGTTGTGTTTTCAGTAAATCTGAGTGAAAGGAATTAAATACTACCTTCATCCCCATCCTGCAGTATTTGGAAGTTAAACATCCACAGATTTCCTACTAGCATTGACATACTATCCAGAGAAAACAGCAACTACTACTAAACACCCAAATGGATCCTGAACTAAGTGTGGTTTACACAGAAGAAAGCAGAAATAATAGCAAATTTGAAGATTAGAACATCCAAATAATTTTGTTACTGGTAATAGATATTTCTATATTAGAGAACACGCTAGTTGCAGATTGTACTTGAAAGCATATTCTGCTTTGCAAATTCCAGTGTAAATTCTGCTTTTTACTATCATTAGCAAAATGTTTTGGAACTGTAATACCTGTAGAAAAACAGCCTGAATTGTTGAAAAGAACATCCCAGGCCTTGACAATACTTACAGATCCAAAGTGGACAGTTCAAGACAGTCAAACATTGTAGATAAATGGTGTATGGGTACATAAAACTTCCTGCGTGTACAGCAAAGAGTGTACGTCCACAACTGGTTTGTTCAACTGAAATGTCCATTTTCCAGATCCTGGGCAAGTTAGGCTGTTGGAGTCTGAAAAAGCAGTAGTGTAAAAGGCAGGGCAACAGATTACATTAGAAGCAGTAGGACTGGCTATTTTGTGGAGTTTGGGAGGTTTTTCTTCTTTAAGCACCTATCAAAGATGCTGTCTTCATGAAGCAGAAATGGAGAGGAGCCTGCTCTAATGGTTAGGACTAAAGCTTGTAGCATGTAGAGAGCAGAGAGAATCGTGTGTAGTTTTACAGTCAGTTAGAGAAGGAAGACATTAACTAGTACAAAAGAGGTCCTAGTGGAAGAAATAGAGAGCAGAACTGTTTCATTAATGGTATAGATCAATCCTAAAATGGTCTTGGAAGTATCATTATTATAGTGGGGGTTTTTTCCCCTCCTAGCATGTACAGAAAGTACTATGCAAGGATATTGCTCTGGTAGGCATGGAGGGGGGTATATGCGGGAGAAGTATTCGTAAATACACAGGTGGATCTTCATGAGTATGCTTGATTTCTGACACACAAGCAAAAGGAGTGGATTTTACCACTCTGGATAGAGCCAGTATATTCTTCTTAAAAAGGATGTACTAATATTGGACAAATATTGTCAAATCTATATGCTAGATGCTAGGCTTTTGTATTCTATTGCTTGATTCTCAAATACCAGTACAGTAGTTCATGCTAAAACATGAAGCTAAGTTTCTCTGAAACGGACTGTTACAACAAGTTTGTGTTGAAGTTTTTATTGAGATAGCACATGGTAGCTTTGATTTATGAATCAGAAACCTATGATCGTAAAGTTTCACACTATGGAAAACATAGATCCTGACCCATAGATCTAAGGCAATGAATAACCTGAGTTACAAAACTAACGGGTTTGCTAACATACTGTTAAAATTGACATGAATGACACAGGATGACTGCCTATAAATATGGTTACCTTAAATTGCGCACAGCTCCATTTTCCTAGTTTGTGAATGAAGCTGTATGTAACTTCATATATATTCATATATATTAAATGCATATATATATATATATATATATATGTGGGGGGAGAAATTAAAGAATAAATGCTACTGAATATGATCAGTAATCAGAAGGCACAGGGAAAAATGCACAATATTTTGTGTGTCTCTAACAACAGCTGGCATATTTTTAAAATGATTGCTTAAACTTTTCAATAATAGCTGAAGCATTAATATAAATTACTTGATTTCAAAGATAATGAAACATGTCTAGTTAAAATCAGGCTTCTTATTTTAAAATTGTAAGTAAATGTAACCATTATCAATGAGCAAGTATTGTGTGTGTTGACTTCCTCAGGCTTGTTATAGGTTTAACTTTTACCTTTAATCATGTTTGGAGCATACTGATCTTGTGTAGTTTGTTTATGGGGTTTTGAGTATCTCCTATTTCAGTAAGTGACCCTGGCAGCCAAGCAGGATCAAGTTGAGGCAGAAATCCAAAATTATGCAAATTGGCTCCACCATTGTTCACTGATGTAAATCCAAACATTAAATTCAGGCTGGCAGGATACTGTTTCAGTGTTTAACACAAAGGGCAAAGTCCTTCCTCTGTAGTAGGTGTAGAAGACTTGCCTTCAAAAGAGAAACACCCCACTGCAGGAACATGGAAAACTTGCACTGTGTATTCTGAAAATACACTTAAGAATCTGAGGGAAAATTCATTATGCTTATTGCACACTGAACTTTATTAGTTAACATTCCTAAGCTCACTGGTGATTATAATATACAGATGCTACTCAGAAATGATTGTTTTTGTCAAAGCTCTTCTGCAAGAAAAGAAGATATCATCTGCTTTTTACATTGCACTAAAACCACAGAGATACGGATTTTTCCGTGGTAGTCTGAGAAGCTGGTGGACCAGAAAAAGAAAAAAATATAATTGGAAATTTCTGTCTCTTGCTTTATTAGCAATGCTTATAATGGGTGCTTTGACAGCTAGAACTCTGAAATGTGTGCTAATGTCTAGAGCTTTTTCAGACTTGCTGGAATTAATAAAGGAGAATGCTGCTTAATGCTTTTGTGATCTCTTAATTCCCTGGTCTGTTTTTAATGGAACTGGGTAATTCTGGTTTTTTTTTTTCCTATATCAATGATACTATAAAGAGGAGTTTTTTGATTTTACAGATTCTAGGTCAAACTTTTCTCTTGGGGAGGAGACTTCTGGAAAATTTAATCTGATTTTAAAAAAACCTTTTTTCGCTCAGATTTGTAGTCAGCTTAATTCTGTGTAACGCTACTAGGAGCAAAGTAGTGCCATGTTGCATCTAAATCTGCTTTCACATGCACCCAGTGCGGTTTGCAGAATGAGATTGAGGTCTGTCTCGTGCACTTACAGATGAGGTAGTCACACTTGATTCTTCTTTAAGAAGTAAAAAGGTCGTGATGGGAACACCACGACTGTGCAAGTTTTTGGGTTGGGTGGGTTTTTTATGCAATTCTGCCTGCACCCAGAGCAGAACCAGCAAGAGCTCCCAACCCTTTCTTTGCACCTCAACCTCCCAGCTGCAGTGCTGCAGCCTGAGTAAGAGGGTTGTGTGTAGCTTCCCCAGATCTCTTCTCCCACATCCAGGGGCAAGGCAGCGTACACAGCGACATTTTTAATGGGTACAGGTTGCAAGGAAACGACAGGGGAAGCGGAGGGCTTGCTGTGAGAGACACGAAAATCTACTCCCTTCTCATGCCTCGTCCCCCTGGATGCCGTGGTCTCAGTGCCGGTCCGCTGCTGACAGCTCTTTGACAGCTCAGATCATGGCCGCCCCTCACCGGCAGTGACCTATGCGCAGTGCCAAGAGCTGGGAAGGCAGCCGGGAAGCTCTTTCGGCCTTCCCAAGCTCCAGGACTGAGGATTTGTTTTGCCGCCGGCCCAGCGCCGCTGTGGCTTCGCAGGAGGGGCTGTGGCACCAGC